TGGCTTCGCAGGAAGGGGGTAAATGTGCAAGTGGTTAAACTATAAATTTTCAATAACAAGTATAACAGCTGACTTGGACACTTACCTTGTCTGCTGCATCTTCCTATTCTTTAGAAGATTTCCTTTATTCTTCATCAAACCAGATCAAAGATCACTGCCCTAGGATCACCTTTCACAAGTGGCTCCCCTGTGGGGACCTATGGAGACACCAGTTTGTGCTCACTTATGGGAGAGACTCCAAGCCTAGGTGAGGGCATTGATTGCACCAACATGCACAGGCAGCCAAGGAGAATTAGAAGGAGCAGGCATGTGCAGTGGTGCTTGGAGTCATAAAACGCACAGTCCTATTGGGAAGGTAGAGGTGGCAGTGGACTGTGCATGAAGTTTTAATTCTGCACTCTCCAACTGGAAGTTCAAGTTAGTGGCAAAGAGCAACCAAGAGGCTGTACGTGTAAACACAGAAAATTGTAAGGGCTCATGTATACTGCAGCTGATAAACTGACGTTCAGGAGCTTTTCTGCGTTTTTTTCAGCAGCCCCTGAACTCTCCCTAATGTTTTCCTATGTGTCCATGTACACGTACTCGTTTACAGGCAGTTGAGTTTACAGTCGTTTTTTGCACGCACCAAACTTAGGTTCAGGTGTAGGTTTTATCAGCGTTTCAAATGCCAAACGCTTGTAAATGCATGTACTGTAAACGAGGCTAACCACATTGTCACGGAGTGCCTGCTCCTCTTCTGCCACCCCCCCCTGGTGCTTGTGTCTCCCCTGCTGTTGTCCCTAGAGAGCTGTGTGAGGGCTGTGCTGAGGTCAGACCCCACAGCCAAGATCCCACTGAGTCCCCGTAAGCCTGCTGTTGTCCCTAGAGAGCTGTGTGAGGGCTGTGCTGAGGCCAGACCGCACAGCCAAGACCCCGTTGAGTCCCAGTGAGCCACTTACCGTGAGTGTCCCTAGAAGCCACATGTTGCAGAGTGCCCTGAGACCGCTGTGACGCGCCGGTCACATGAAGCCAGGAGGTGGGGCGGGATTTAGGGTCATGTGACCGCCGTGACACGCCGTCACGGCGGTCACATGACCCTAAACCCCGCTCCACTTCCTGGCTTCTGAAACCGTTAAAGGGCCGGGAGATGCTGGCCCAACGGGGTTAAAAAACGCTTCTAAACGCAAACGTACATAAATGCGCATAAACGCAGTATGCAAACACATGTAAACAGATGTTTTTTAACCTACATTTTCCAGCAGTCAGTTTCCATCATTCAGAAGTGTTTTCCAAACGTCCCGTGTACATGGAGCCTAAGTGTTTCTGTACTTTTCTTGTATCACACATTTTCCCATGTAAAAAAAGCCTAAAACTGGCTTTCAGTTGCTTCCCAACTACTTACAGCACATGTTTAATTACAGTAGATATAAAGATTCTTCTGCCAAAGAGAAATGAGATGTGTTTTCTGTGGCTCTGCTTGAATTTTAATGTTGATTTTCTCCATAATATCTTTAGCTAGAGGGGAATGGTAGCTTGTTTTAAAGCGCCTTTATTGCTTATTCAGAATGCAGTAATACCTTAGTGTGCTTAGTCTAGGCACAGGTTTATTTTAAGTGCATTTAAGCGTTGGTCAGTGTTCTTGAGATATTTTGTTTTAAAGAAAATAGAAACATAGCCTCGTGTTTAATTTATAGACTACAGCTAGCAATTTAAAACTGTATTGTAGCAACAGAAAGCCAGCTACAGATGTCTTTCCAGTTAATCATCCTGAAGAGAGCCAAATAACCTATATCAGCAAATTCTTGAACTGTGAAAAGGGCCCCAAAGGATAATATAGAAAAACTATTTACCCTGCCTTCTCCTTTACATTCTCTTATTATTTCAGCATACTGCTAAATGACCTTCTTCCTAAATGGTCAGTGGCTGCATACAAGGCACAAATAACATTGTTTTCACTTTTCATGGAAAGCGAACTTAAATATACATGTGCTATGCACACAGCGTAGAATACTTCAAAACAGCAGTAATATATCTTGCAGGTGGCTGATGTTATTAATGGGCAGTCCTAAATCCAGAAAAATTCCAGATAGTTAACACTGATGAACTAAACATTGTTGCTGCTTCCTACAAAAACATTTCTTCTAAAATAGTAACTTCTCTGAGTGTCTGTGATTAATTGAGATGTGAAGTTGTGTTGATACATTACATGGGAACATGTATTAACCACTTGTCCTCCAGAGAATTTACCCCCCTTCCTGACCGGGCCATTTGTTGCGATACGGAGCTGTGTTCCCACATGGAAGACAAATATATTTTAAATATATTTTAAAAATGTTCTTCCCAAATATTGCCATATATGTGAAATGCTTCAATTTTGGCCATATTCAATATATTTCAAAATATATTTAAAAATATATATATATATATATATATATATATATATATATATATATATATATATATATATACTGCATGTTGAAATGCATTTTTATTATAAATTATATGAAAAATATTTTTAAAACTACATTTCAAATATACTGTATGTCTTTAAAAATACAAATCAACATTTTCGGAATGCATCTACGAATATATGTAAAAATATATGTTAAAATGACTTTTTTATATGTTAAAAAAATCTGGGGAGTATATTTCAAAAAATTATATTTTTAAAAAGTCATTTTAACATATATTTTTACATATATTTGTAAATGCATTCCAAAAATGTAGATTTTTATTTTTAAAGACATACAGTATATTTGAAATGTATTTTAAAAAAATTTTCATATATTTTGTAATGAAAACACATTTCATCATGCAGTATATATATATATATATATATATATATATATATATTTTTTTTATTATTTATTGAAATATATTTTGAATTATATTGAATATGGCCAAAATTGTAGCATTTCAAATATATGGCAATATATTTTGGAAGAATATTTTTTAAATATATTTTTCTTCCATATGGGTTACTTTAACTGACAATTGTGTGGTCATGCAACGCTGCACCCAAATTAAATTTGCATCCTTTTTTCCCACAAATAGAGCTTTCTTTCTGTGGTATTTGATTGCCTTGACAGTTTTTATTTTTTGCGTTATAAACAAAAAGAGACCGACAATTTTGAAAAAAAAATATATATTTGACTTTTTGCTATTAAACATGTCCAGTAAAAAAAATTTAAAAAATCTAATTTCATCATAAAGTTAGGCCAAAATGTATTCTGCTACATGTCTTTGCTAAAAAAACAAAACAATAAATGTATATTAATTGGTTTACAAGAAAGTTATAGCATGGCGATATATACTAGAATTGTTTTTTACATTTTTTTTTTACTAGTAATGGCGGCAATCAGTGACTTATAGCGGGACTGCGGCGGGCATTCTGGCACCGGGGGGAAATGACTTGATCCCCAGTGACATCAATACAGTGATCAGTACTACTAAAAAGCACTGACACTGTACTAATGGCACTGGGCAGGAAAGGGTTAATATGTGGTGCGGTCAGAGGATTAACTGTGTGCTGTTTCACTTTATGTGCTGTGTGCGCGTTCAACTGTAAGCGTACTACTTTGTATGGCTCTGCTATGCAGAGCCATACAAAGCAGTATGCAGGAGCTGATAGGGGAGAGATCTGTATTGTTTACATACAGGTCTCTCCCCCGTTGGAGATTGCTGGGTGTCAGCGGGGAATCACCAACTAGGACTCGGTGATTGACAGCCGAGGCCACGAATGCCAGCACGTGCGCCCCCTACTCAGAACTGCAAAATGACGTATAAATATGTGATTTTGTGCACGTGCACCACCCTGTAGCAGCATATCTGCTATAGGGCAGCACGGCAGCGGTTAAAGTGGATTGTTTTGTAAATTCAGAAGTCTACATAGGTAAATTCCTGACATGTCACAATATACAGAAAATGTGTTCTATAACCTACACCTTCTGACAGCAGCACAAAAGCTGTACCTGTTAGGGCTTTAAAAGGCCCTCCTTGAGATCACAAATGACTTTGCCTATGCTGAGATGATGGTTTCAGTCTCCTGCAAGCAGAAGGAAGAATTTCCTCAGTCTTCTCTCCATGGGCTGATCTGTGTCAAACATTTATTAAGAACTTCACTGCCACCAGAATTTACAAGACTATGTCATATCCGACCAGCATCCTAGACCAGGAAGAAGATTCTGCCCATAGTTAATACTTGATTATTCATGTAGCTGTTCTTTTGGACAGAAAAGCAGATAAAGACATTTTCATGGGGCTCACTGTAGTCTCTGTGAAAGGTAATAAATTACTGTAAGTGGTACTCTAACACATTGCTTAGCCTGGAGGCTGACAGCAAAAAAAAAAAAATATCCCATGCTTGGCATATGTTGATCTATAAGGTTTGTACATCCTCGTAAGCAGCAGATGGATGTTTGCTGCTCAGGAATTAGCTGCATTAACATCAGTCTAATAACAATTATTTTAATGTAATCTTTATTTCTATATACATGCAAATATAATGGAATTAATGGATTATCGCAATAAATTTCATCAGCAGATGCCTTCCCAAGCCTTGATCCACAGCTTCCAATAAGCCCTTTGATTTGATATATGGCTTCACAGGCAGCCCTTGTGGCAAAAAAGAATGATTCACACGGCTCCACATACCATTTTAACCTCCCTAGCGGTATGATTATGTCAGTATTTCTGTGCTTAAAGCTGTACTTTTTTTGCATGGAAATATGTATTTTTTTTATTGTAGGCCTGTAATTTTTAGGAATAACTCACTGAAATCTGTCCAAACAAGAGTCTAGTAAACATCCCGGGTATGATAAAACTTGAAACACGAAATCATAAATTCTAATAGAATAAATAATCATAAAAAATAATAATATAATAATACATTTAATTCAATAATATAATCAAACCAAAAACACTGAAATTTGAAATATAGCGCCAAGTTCGCACATCACTGAGCAAAGTCGCAAAATCGTTTTCAGTGTCTGATGACGAATTTCCCCACTAATCATTATCACTCAATTCTGCAAGTGGTTCTAATTTACTATGCTGTTCTCTAGCGGTCTAAAACTGCTTTTGACCTAAAGGGACCCTTTTTGGACGCCATGGACGTTTCTCAGTTTCCAGGCAGAAAGAACAGTAAAAATGCAGGCAGGGCACAGGACAAAGCACTCGGGACAAAATGTATGTGAAATGGTTTGAAACAGTAATGTTTTACTATGTGATTTTAGTGTATTAGTGAATGTCACATTTTAAAGTTTTAAAATTTCCTGCCGTTTCCGGCCCCCATGCGTCCCGTACGTCCCAATGCTCGCAGGGACCGGAAACCGGAAGACGGATGCCGGCATCGGCCGCAGGAGATGGCCGGGGACGCTGCAGGGGGGACATATTGCGGGATCACAGAAGAAGGTAAGTGCTGCAGGGAATCCCTGAGCAACGCTGCAAGGTATTCCCGAGTGTAGATCGGGGTTACCGCTTTTGGTGCTGAAACTTTACCCCGAGCTACACTCGGGAATACCGCCAGGGAGGTTAAAGGATGCTAAGAATGGGTCATGGACAGGTGTTATCTTTTGCCCATATTTAGGTTGTGGTCCCTTTAACCACTTGCCTGCCGGGCACTTATACTTCCTTCGAGACCAGGCCAATTTTCAGCTTTCAGCACTGTCTCGCTTTGAATGACAATTGCATGGTTAAGCAACACTGTACCCATATGAAATTTTTATAATTTTTTTCACACACATAGAGCATTCATTTGGTGGTATTTAATCGCCATTGGGTGTTTTACTTTTTACACTATAAACAAAAAAACAGCAAACAATTTGAAAAAAAAGTTTTTCTTTGTTTCTATTATAAAATTTTGCAAACAGGTAATTTTTCACCTTCATTGATGTGCATTGATGAGGCTGCACTGATGGGCACTGATAGGCAGCACTGATGGGCACTGATGAGGTGGCATGGACAGGCAGCACTGATGGGCACTGATAGGCTGCAATGATGAGGCAGCACTGGTGGGCATTGATGAGAAGGCACTGATGATACTGCACTGATATGCAGCAATGATGGTCTCTGATAGGTGGAACTGATGGGCACTAATAGGTGGCATTGATGGTCAGTGATAGGCAACGCTGATGGACGGCACTGACTGATGGCACTGACTGGCAGCACTGACTTATGGCTGACTGGTGGCGGGCACTGATGGGCAGCACTAATGGGCACTGATGGGTGGCAATCTGGGTACTGATGGGTGAAACTGCTGGACAGCACTGATGAGTGACACTGCAGGGAGGCACTGATGGGTAGCACTGCTGGGCACTGATGGGTGGCACTGCTAAGCACTGGTGGGGGGCACTGCTGTGCACTGGTGGGAAGCACTGCAGGGCACTGATCATCAGGGCACTGCTTATCAGTGCCGATCTGCTGTGTGTGTCAGCTGCTGGTTATCAGCAGTACTTTCTTCATGCTGTGACAGCGTGAGGAAAGTGCTGCCGACAACCGGCAACTGTATTTACTCGGTGATCTGCTGTGTTATTGGACACAGCTGATCACGTGGTAAAAGGCCACTGTGATTGGGCACGTAGGACACAGCGATCACGGAGATCGCCGGGTGCGCCGCTGGGGGTCATATGAACTGGATAACCACAATGTAGCTGTCATTCGGCTATAGCGCAGTTCGCAAGTGGTCAAAGGAAATGGTTGCTGCAGCTAGTGTACTCTAGGGTTCTCACCTCTGCTGGTTGAGAAATTCCAGGATAGTTAAACATAAAGGAGAGGACTGACTTACAGTTCTCTCTGTGTTAATAACTGCCTATTTGGGTCTGGAATTTTGGAGGTTCTGAGAGATATTCTCAGGAAAGAACCTCCACCCCTGATTACGGGGACACTGGCCCAGAGAGGGCTAAGCATACCTCCAGAAAGCTGCACTTAAGACTCCTAGTGCAGATGTGGACTAGGAGCTTTGGAGAGGAGACAACTGACTGTATGCTGCGTGTTTGCTGGAAGCTGCTCAAACCTCATTTGGACTTTCCTAGCTATGGGTAAATCCCTTACATGTTGGATGCTAAGTTATGCTTCATTTGTGCTACAGATAAGTGGACTCTTGTGTTTGTGTTGCTGAAATTAAGCTGTTTACGTCTGCTGCTGGAGGCTCTATTTTTTACTTTATGTTTATGAGAAATGGCTTTGCCTGTGATCCTGGTGTACTATCACTCTAGCTATACCCCTTAACTTTAAACAGTCTAAGATTCTGAAATGTAAACTACGTTCTGGTTTAAGAATTATTATTATTATTATACAGTATTTATAAAGTGCCAACAGTTCGCTCAGCGCTGTACATTACAATGGGAGACAGTACATGCAACAGTACAATAACAGTACAATGTGATACATGAGGGGTCCGAGGGCCCTGCTCTTTCGAGCTCACAATCTAGGAGGGAGGGGATAGTAGTACAGGAGGAAATGGCTGTAGGGGATGGAGTGGTAGGAAGAGTGTAGGAGGTCGGCAATTAGCAGCGGGTGGGGTAGGCTTCGATGAAGAGGTGGGTTTTCAGGGTGCACCTAAAGGAGAGGAGAGTAGGTGATAGTCTGATGGATTGGGGTAGGGAGTTCCAGAGGATGGGTGATGCCCTGGAGAAGTCCTGGAGGCGGGCATGGGAGGAGGAGACCAGGGAACTAGAGCGAAGGAGGTCTTGTGAGGAGCGGAGAGTGCGTGTTGGGTGGTATTTGGATATTAGGTCGGTGATGTAATTTGGGGCAGTATGATGGACAGCTTTGTATGTCAGTGTTAGGATTTTGAATTTGATCCGTTGGGCAATCGGAAGCCAGTGGAGGATTGGCAAAGGGTGGTGGCGGAAACGGAGCAGTTGGTAAGGTGGATGAGTCTGGCTGCCGTATTCAGGATCAACTGAAGTGGGGATAGCCTGTGGCGAGGCAGGCAAGTGAGGAGGGAGTTGCAGTAATCGAGTCATGATATGATAAGGGAGTGGATGAGCTGCTTAGTGGTTTCCAGGGTTAGGAATGTGCGGATTTTGGCAATGTTGCGGAGGTGGAGTCTGCATGAGTTTTTTAGTGATTGGACTTGGGGCTGGAAGGATAGATTGGAGTCAAGTATAACACCAAGTACTCTGGCCTGTGGGCGGGCGGGCCTGATGGTGGCATTGTTGGACGTGATGGAGAAGTCAATGGGGGGTGGTGTGCGGGCTGGGGGGAAGACTAGGAGCTTGGTTTTGGAGAGGTTCAGTTTAAGGAAGTGGAGCGACATCCAGTCTGATATGTCGTTCAGTAGGCTTGTGATTCGGGCGGAGACTGAGGGGGTGAGGCGAGGGGTTGAGAGATAGATTTGCGTGTCGTCGGCATAGAGGTGATAGTTGAAGCCATGAGAGTGTATGAGTTGACCAAGGGAGGAGGTGTAGATGGAGAAGAGAAGGGGCCCGAGGACAGAGCCTTGAGGGACCCCAACAGAGAGAGGTAGTGAGGGGGAGGTGGTAGCGTTGTAGGTAACGCTAATGGAGTGTTGTGATAGGTAGGACGAGAGGCAGGAGAGAGCAGAATCTCTGAGGCCAAGGGAGTATAGCTTTTTGAGGAGGAAGGGGTGGTCGAATGTGTCGAAGGCCACGGAGAGGTCGAGGAGTAGGGTATGAGAATGGGTAGGGTAGAAGAATGAGTAACGGGTGCAAACTCAGGAGCTGCTTGGTAGATCGGGTTGTTTTCTGTTCCCCTGCCTCGACTTCAGTTGAAGACAACTGAAAGCGGTGCTCCAGTCCCCAGAATACATTTCCTTTCCGTTAGCATTATCAACTGGATAAAGTTATTAATAATAGCTTTGTAATTACTTTCAAATAAGTTAAACTTTACCTGGATCTCGGAAGCAGGCAGGGGCCATGATGGCTGTGGGCATCTGAAGCCCGCAGGTCTTTACTTCCTGGAATTGGTGCTGCTGGCTATCCCAGCATGCACCACTCGATCTCGCGCCTGTGCAGTACTGACATTGGTTGGCGTGACTTGTATACTACAGGTTGCCATAACAATGGCAGAGATGGCGGAAGTTTCAGCCCCCTTATGCCAACCTGTACATCAGTTCACTCAATTCACACAGCATACACGTCTTCCACAGAGGACTCCAGTATAATGGCGCCAAACTCCTCCCATTTGCATCATTTCCGGTTTTTGAAGTACCGCAATATTAAGTCACTAGGAACTCAAAGGACTCCTGGGATACAGGACATGACATCCCAGGAGACCTTGCAAATCGCCTTACAACGTCATCGCCTATGTGTCAGGAATCCTGGGTTCCGCCGCAGTGCAGGCGACTGTGCAGGCGCGAATTACCTAGGCGCAGCAACATGCGGGTTCTGGGACCCAGGCATCCGCAGTGGCAGTTGCGGACGCGCATGTGCACTTGCGCACACGGGTGCACACCGGGCACCAATGATGGCGCAGGGTGCCCTATTTAAACAGACCTTTGCAGTGCTCAAATTGCCGTATGGTCTTACTCCTGCTGTTCCTGTTCGTTGTTCCTGAGAGATTGCCTTTGTTGCCGACCCAGCCTGACCCGAATTGCCGTGACCCCTGGCTTGTCTTGACCATTCTTTTGTCTTCTCCTATTTACCTGACCTCCTGTTACTGAACCTGGCCTGTGACCCGTTGATCCTTTTGCCTGCCGCTCTGTACCGTCTGCCTCTGCTGTTACTGACCTGGCCTGTCTGACTACGCTGCACTCCGCCTCTTTACATCAGGCTCTCACCACTTGCCACTGGCAACCACCTCTACCACAGCCGGTTGTATTCGGGGGCTGTGACCTGGTCTCAGACTGCTTCAAGTCCATCCTCACCATCAGGGGCTCTGGTGAAACAGCAGGCTGGGGCTTAGATTCCGTGCCCTGAGGAATTCTGGTCTGTGCGTTGCTAGAGGCTACCGCTAGTTGGCTCCTGACACTAGGCGGCCGGGACCGGAACTGCAGTCTTAAAAATTAATTTAAAGGTATTTATAATAGGGAAAAAAAATTATCCAAATCGTGCTTTACAACACAGGTACAATGTACAGAGATGCACTTTAAAAATGGGTTGAACTCCGCTTGAAGTTCAGTATCAAAAAGCAAACATGAGACTGGTTAAAGGTAAATGAACCCAATATATTGTCACTGGTTGCAGTAAATAACAGTATGCACATCAATGAGCAGGTGAATCATTAGGTCAATCACATTACACTAGACAATATGTTCACCAGGCTATATCAGCACATAATGGAGATCTATTAAGCTAAATTAGAGTAAGCTCGGTAATCCACAAAATCAGCAATAAGTAGTGGCATTAGAAAACAGTAACAACAATGATAATCAATACTGTGATAACTCCTCTGTAAACAGCAGGCCATATCCACTTTAGAGTGCACTC